CTCTCTCTCTCTCTCTCTCTCTCTCTCTCTCTCTCTCTCTCTCTCTCTCTCTCTCTGTGTGTGTGTGTGTGTGTGTGTGTGTGTGTGTGTGTGTTAAGAAGCTTTAGAGTGAGCCGGATCCCCTCAGGGACGCATACTTAAGGTTATATTTGTTTCCCCTTATAAGCCAATCAATAGTGGGGGTTGGCGAAAAGGCCTTTGGGACTACCCGCTGAAACCTTTTCGTAGCGTCGGCATAAACAGGGCCGCATGGCCGGATTGGGATCCTATTTTTCTATTTTCCTCTCTTCTTCTACACCCTACCCCTACGCCCTCTTCTTATTGTATTGATACATGATGCTACTTAACCACCTCCTTGCTGTGAAAACTTTCATTGTTATTGTCTATGTGATGGTGTTGTGTGCACTAGGAGCTTGTAGCCGAGTCTTCGTCCCTGTGAGAACGAATATGGAAGCAGCAATTTTTGTTTTAGGGATCGTCGTCGTCTGCTCTATCCTATTCGGTTACCTGGCTTTCGTCGCATATCTGGAGAGCAAGTGGATCAGGGCGTTTTGCCTCCAGCTGACCTTGCATTCGAATAAATCAGTCGGGGCTTCGGGATGAGGGAGGTGTGTGATTGGAAGGTGATGCGGAGCTTTGGGATGGTGTGCGGTGGGCTACATCGGAGGGCGTGGATGGTGTTTTTGTTGTTCATAATGTTTTCGTCATCGGCCGTTATGATGAGTTTTGGTGGATATGTGATGAGCTCCAGGGAGGGGGTGTGCATGAGGTGGAGCAACGGAAACGGATGCGTTGGTGGTAATGAGTTTCTCCTTGCTTTTTTCATGATGCATTGGTCTTTCATCCTGGCAGTGATTGTTATCTGTTTCAGCGGATCTGGTGCTTGCAATTGCCCCTACTGTTACCACTTCTTCTTCTTTTTTGCTGCGCCTGTATAGATGGCTACTTCCGGAGTGATCCGAGTTTTCGTCGTTTGTTTTGACGGGGCAATGGCGATGGGGATTGGGGATTGGCGGGTCATGAGGAGTTTGGTGGAGCAATGCTTTTTCTTCTGGGGATGGGGTTAACCGCCTTGCTGTTGCCAATACTATCGGAGAGGTTCATATCCTTGCCTTGCTGTTGTCGATACTATCGGCAGTGGCATCAAAACTCTCCTCGTCGCTGATCGAGACAAACCGAGCATGCGGCCTGCCATGTGAACACTCGGACGTCCGGAGCCACCCTCGCTGCTAGCCGCAACCTGAAACCGAGGTGACAAACGTCCTGCGAAGGCGCCCCTCCCGGCATCGTAATCCGCCCTCATCCGGTCCGAGACCCGGCGATGAGCTGCCCATCCGCCGGCAACACCACCTGTGACAGGCGGCGGGGAATCGGCAACGGGCGCACGGGCGGTAGTCGCGTCGGCGCCGCCCTCCGTGCTCCGTGCGGGTGGTGGAGGCATCTATTCGGCAGATCCGCCGCCGTCACTTCGGCGGCCCGACCTGCCATCAACCGGCCCGGACTCCCTCCCTCTACTGCCGCTGAGCGAAGAACCCGACCATCTAGGGCTATCCACGATGTACGGCGGAGGTGAATACGCCCCTCCAAGAGGGCGCCTCTCGTCGCTCTTGCGGCCCGTGTGGGGGAAAGGGTCATGTGAACCGAGTCGCGCCAAATCCTCGGCATCAAAACCAGCCTGAGCGAAGGCCTCCGGCCGTGTGAGAGGTAGTGCAGGCACTGACGGGTCCCTCAAGACCAAAGCCAGCCTACCCTTATCGCCGTGGTCGCCGTCGTAGTCGCCATCGTCCCGGTCGCCGCCGTCGTCACCGTGGTCGTCTCCGTGGTCGGACCCCTCCTCGTCGTCGTCCTCGTCCTCGTCCTCGCTGCCACCATCTCCCTCCTCGTCCTCGCCGCCACCATCTCCCTCAACACCCGAGGGGACACCATTTCCCTCAACACCCGTGGGCACACCCTGTCGGGCCGCCCCCGCATCAGCCTCCCCACCAAAACCCACGTCGCCTCCGTCACCGCCCCCACCCCCCTCTGTCTCCAACTCCCTCCGTCGGCGCTGTTCCTCCATATACGCGAAACGACCATCCCATCCCGGCAAAGTCCACAGCCACTCCTCCTCTCTGTCCACTCGGGCATCCTGCTCCTCCTCGATCTCTACATGGCCCCGCACATCAGAATCGTCGAGGAGCACGTCCGACAACGAGGCACCCCTCTGTCTCGGGGCACTGAGATCCCCCGAACCCCCGCCAGAGCCGCCGACGTAGAAGTCGTCGGTGTGCAGCTCGGACGGCGAGCGGTGGCGGATACCGGCGCCGGATGGAGTCCTCTCCATCTCCGAAATGTCCACAAGCTCGGTCCCCTCATGGTGCTCGGTCGCTGGTGTTTGTTGTCTCTCCGCTGCCGATGTCAACCTCGTCCTCGGCCTGGTAGGCTCGGGCGCTCCCCTGGTCCGATGATGAGAGGGAGAGAACCGATGATCCCGAAGGCGCACCTCCTCCCCCTCCTCAGCCCCCTCCGGCCCGGTGTCGCTCCAGACCTCCCAACGTCTGCCCGTCTGCCAAAGGCCTCCGACTGGCTCCTGCCCCTCCACGTGCTCGTCGGCACGCGGTCGTCAACGACGACCACCGGCTCTGCCGGTGCCACTGGCCTGACCACCGGACGGCACATCGTCAGTGATGACGGATGTGTGTGGAGTCATGCCGTCAGGTCCTTCGCCGTACGTAAAATAGACCCGCTCCGCCCTCGCGTCGTTATCGTTCATCCACTCGTCGTCCGACGTGTCGCCGTCCGCATCAGCGTCCGACGTCTGCTCTGGCCACGGCCGTAGCTCCACTGCCCTCTTGCCGAACAGGTCCTGAACCGGGTCGGCTCTAGACGGTTGACAAGCATGGAAAGCGACGACCTGGCGCTCGATGTTGTGCTCGCTGAAACTGCCAGCAGGTTGCGCTCCCCACACCTCGGGGTCCACGTCCCCCTCGTCGTCCTCCTGCCCTCCCGCGGTCTCCCCCTGACCGGTCCCCATAACCCAGGGCAACGTGTAGCCACTAACCTGCTGTGCGCATCCGGCCAGTTTGAGATTGGTGGCAATCTCAACCAGCTCATAAGCGGTAAACAGGAACCCCCACTTTTCGGCCCTAGGTAACGATGAATGATCCTGAATTGAGGGTTTTCTTGTGGCGCCTCGCCGTGTTGATGCGCTCGTGCTGCGCCCAGTTCCTCTCTGCAGGAGAGGCAGACGTCCACAACTGCATCACACGGATGGTGATGGTTCGCAACTCAGGGTGATGACGTCCGTGATCAAACCACCACTGGGCACAACGCTCAGTTTCCCGGTCCCCCCGACAATCGTCGGCCTCGACATCGGTGGAAATGCCTGATCTGGTCACGGACTGTCCTGTACGGTCTGCCGACCGGATCATCGCCAGTCTATGTGAGCAGGAATCTGTCGCACTCCTCGACCACATGGGCGTCGTCGGTTGTCGTTTGCAACGACTCATAATATCGGAGGGACCGACGGCGAGGGTTGAGGAGGTGTGACGCAGCATGTGCGGGCTCGAGCATGTGAAGGTTGCGGACGACAGCCTCACGCATGCACGACTCCACCATGTCCGCCGGCACATCCACCCTCCTTATCAACTCCAGAAGATGCTGACTCCACTCGTAAACAATGGACATCATCATCCCCCCTCTATCCACCCTCCTCAAGAGCTGGTGGATGGGCAACATACCGCGGATGGCACATTCAACGCATCGCCAGAACTCGCCGTCGCGGATCTGCTGCTGAACCCACTTTGCCTAGGAGACAATCCTGCGCTCCCACGGGATGCGAGCCCACGCGTCGCCGAATGGCAGAATACGAAGAAGAAGAAAGTGTTATGCAGGGTAAAAACGAAAGTCTCCCGAACGCGACTTCATTAAAAAAATAACGTGAAGTATAGGCGGTATGGACCCGACTAGTTTCGTCCGGCCGCCACAGGAACTCCTCAGGGGTCTTAGGTCGCGGAGGATGTTGTTACCAGCACCCACCATTCGATTTATACCCTTTGTAACAGGTCAGTAGTTACTAGAAGCTTCCACAGTAGTACCAGGTAGAACTTAGGCAGCTACTTAGTAAACCAGGTACTTGGACCCAACCGACCTCGTCCCACAGATCAGCAGTATCAATGTCCCATCTGCTGGCCGACATTATCGCCGCGTCCTTCTATCAAAACAAACAGACCGAGCCGCGTCCAAAAACAGTAAATCAGGTACTGGGACCCTGTATGTAACCTCAAATCGAAAAAAAAAATCCATCTATCTTGAAAGACCCAATTTTCACATTGATCCTCCGACATCAATTACAGTCTGCATACCTGGAGAGACACTATCTGACGAAAAAATTTAAAAATTTAAAAACCAAGTCCGACCTACAGCGTCAAGATAGGTCCCCCTACATATAACAAGCAGCGTCTAACTACTTATTGTGTTCCGTCAACAGGTGAGCAACCTCCCAGTTGTTACTCAACCAATCATTGTAGCACAGAAAAGACCCCCTCTGGGCCATGGCCAATCTCGGGTGTGGCCGAGACATCTCGGCTATGGCCAATCTGGTGTGTGGCCGAGACATCTCGGCCGTGGCTAATCTTGGGTGTGGCCGAGACATCTAGGCCATGGCCAATCCTAGGTGTGGCCGAGACATCTCGGTCGTGGCCCAACTATGGGGCCGAAAAACCTTTTATTTTTTTTCGTTCC